TTATTTTCTACTAAAGAACCTTAAAATTAAAATGTATGATTTTTAAACATTTATATCGTACAGCCGTTTTCTTGAAGAATACGAAATTTTGGGTGTTTCAAGTAAAACAATGATCCATACAAATCTGAAAAATTCGATCCTTACTAAAATCTTTTGCATTATTTTGACGTTATTGGGTTTTCGGTTTGTAAATATGTGACAATTTGAAATATCAACTTATATAGACTTTGGCCATTTTCCCTTTAAAGCAAAATTTCAGTGAGTCCTCAAATAAAATTTGTACGATTATCTAGCCATAGCTGTAGTTGAACATCGTTTTAATAGAGTCTTAAATTAAGACTCTTAGTAAAAATAAAAAATGAATTGTGAAGAGAGACTTATTCCATTTTATTTAAAACTCAAGGCGGCAACCTACATCTTATAGCTGTTAAATTTTTAATGATAAAGGCTTCATATAATTATTATGAAAATATCATAACTGTCGAAAACAGGACAGAGGACGTCATAAAAATGTAATTACTGAAGATTGCAAGCGAATGAAATGTTAAATTCATGTTGCTGTGTAAATGCACATGTAGATATGTATGTATGCTGACATGATACGTATTTCTGTTAATGTACAAGCATGAATTCTTGCCTTTATTTTCCTTTTTTTTATTTTAATGATTTCGTTTTGCATTCGTTTTGCTTTCGTATTTTACAAGTATGTATGTACATACAAACATTCATTCGTAAGCCAGGTTATTATTGTTATACTTATATACATATAAGCCCATGTTGAGCGGTATCGAAGTGCAATAAGCGTGAAAGCAGACATTAACAAGCAGTGTGTGAATAAAACGAAACAATCTCATAATTTTCAATAAGCACACATACTCGTACGTTATATATGTATATTTTCTTGCTGTCTGACAATACTGGGGAAAAAAGCTGTGGCTGGAGCAATACAAACAGATAATTCTTCAACAAAAGCATACAATTTATTGAATTTAGCCTTTTAAAAATACTTAAATTCACATGCTTTCTTCGATATACATAAAACTTTTACTGATGGCAGCGCAGACCTCCAGCTAGGGATGCAAATTTTGGGGAGTAACATCGATACATCGATGTTTCGATGCATCGGAAAAATTAATATCGATGCTAAAATACATCGCCAGAAAAACATCGATATATCGATGGTTTCCGATGTTTCAAAAGTTGTTAGGTTGTAGTCACATTAAAAGGAAAATTAAATACTTTTAAATTCAAACTCTCTGTAATTCAATTAGAAAAATACTTACATATGGATATATTTCCCTGTATTTATTAACCACTCCTTTACCCTTCCTTTAAATAGAATAGAAATGCATGCCGTCGTAAGTTCGATGAGCCTAAAGTTCCAGGACCCAATTTCGGTGAAATTTCAACGGGATTCCGGTCCTTTTTTAATGACTAATTAAGCATTTTTAATATCGAATAATAAGAGTAAGCTCGGAACTTCTGAATGCTCCTCAAAAGAATGAGTAATAAAATTCATGGCCAGTCAAAAAATTTTAGGTGCATAAGTCGATGTTAAAACATTGCTGAAACTGGCGATTTTAGGAAATTGTAAACATCGATGGCAAACATCGAATTTTGAACCGATATTATCGATGTTTCAAAAATATCGATGCATCGTTTGCATCCCTACCTCCAGCTGGCGTAACAAACATCTGTAGCACTTATTTTATAAAATTTTTTGCCATTCTGCTAAGTGTAGGTATATGTTAATTATTTGCACAAATAAGGCACCAACATTAAAAAATCAGAGGAACTTTTCGTGTGTGTATGTATGCTTGTGCATGTTTGCTAAGGCGAAATCATTAACTAGTTCAAGCATTGTAGGTTCAGGACTAGAATGACCTCGAAAATTTCGAACCGCCCCACAGTTCCGCCTAAAGCTCTACCCAGAATTGCAGCGGACGACGGTAAAGCGGTCGACGGTTAACCGCTGTCAATTTTAAAACTCACAAAGGCATATGGAACGGCTCATAATTGCGGCGGCAGCGGTTTTACCGCCGACGTTTTTCGGTTGATCTAAATTTATTTATATTTTTACCGCCCAGCGGGGACAGCACAATGTTGATTGAATGTTGATTGTAGTAATTTTTATTATTTTCGCATGTTTGGATATGTTGTCATCCGTTTTTATTTCCACAATATTTAATTTTAATGATAGTTTTGAAATCAAAATGACAACTGTCGTGCGCCGCAATTGGCATAAATCGAAAAATTCGTTGTCTGCAATGTGAACGTGTTTGGTATATTTGTAAAGGTCATTTATCCACTAAAAAGAATGAAACAGAAATTTCCCTATAAAATAAATGATATGCCGCCCGGAAGCCATTAAACTCAACAAATTTTATACTAAGTATTTTAATCAGAGCATAGCCGTGCGTTAGCTCCTCGCGGAAAGAAAAAAATTAACCACAGCGTGTTCCAGAAAAACAACTGTTTTTTATAAAAAAATCGAAAATGGCCACTTTCGATGGAATGAATAAAAAATATATGTAAAAATAGTTTTTGTTTATTACTTTATTTAATAGTATGGTTTTTTAGCTTCCAAAATAGAAAATTAAAAGCTGCTCGTTTTTTACACTTTTTGAAATAATGCGCTTTATGCTAATGCATAAAATCATCTTTTTCTTGTCAGTGCCATCAGATACGCACGAATAGTTCGATTTTCAAAAACGAGTTGTCCGATTAAAAAGTGGATTTAAAATAAGGGTTTATGTATTTTTAGAGTTGCCACCTGTAAAAAAATTAATCCAAATCATTTAATATGGTAAATGCATTATGTATTAAAATATTAGTATCAGTTGAAATGGGTGTGAAAAGGGTTTATTTCTTAACTACATGCAGCTGGGTTGCCACCTGTTTAAAAAATCTAATTACATTTCCATTAAGGGAATCAGGTAATTGAAATATATACAGGATTTTCCACTACACCTGCTCACCGTTGAGAATAAAGTCTACCCTAGCTTTTATCCAAAGCGTCGAAATATGCTCAAATACCAGACAGGCCCTAAAAATGCGAGCCCTTATAAGGTATTCTGCGCAGTTAATTTGATGTCTATCTACCATCTCCGCCTAGTCCGGAATCATATTGCTACCCAGAAAATTGAAGATTTTCTAAGATATGCGAAACCGTTAGTCCTGTTTTCTCGTATGAATTTACCTTTTAAGCATATTGATTGTGCAGGATTTGATTTTCGAATCCCTATTTAGAAGTCTCCTTGATCGCTTACGAAGTTTCAAAAGTTCATAGTTCCACCATGCGACGGATTTTCGCTACGTGATTTTTTTAACCATACATATTCCCTCGTTCGTTATCTTAAGCTTCGCCTTTTCAGTTAGTTAGCCTTTTTTAGTTAGTTTAGCGATAACTGGAACTCTTGTTGCAAATAGTAATACAAACCTTCTCTAGCCTGCTATTGAAAGATACCGTTCTTCTGATACTTGAAAAATATCAGTCCCTAGCCGTAATAAAATGAACCGAGTATCCGATAAAAATGTAGATAATTCTACTTCAAGAACATCCTGGTTGCTCCATCATGTTCCATACTGCACCATCCAGACCCTGAGTATATGTCTCAGCCATTCTCAGTCTCATTTCCCTCCATCGCTGTGCTCTTACTCATCAATCAGATACTAGCGCAATAGAAATACAATATTTTGTATTTTTATTTTATTAAAAAAAAAGTAAGTGCGCCTCGGCCACACTGGAGAGGTGTAACTTAAGGTACATATCTATTTTGTCTCATAACCAATGTGCATACATATGTACATACATTCATACATCTGTTTTTGCTTTAGCTTATACTTTTGGTCTTTTTTATATCTAGATCCCTACCTCTCGACACCAGCTTGTAATTTTAATTATAAGTTTAGTTTGTTTACATAAATAAATAAAATAAATTACATTGTTATTCTATTTTCCCTTAACTTCATTTTTGTCTTCATACTTTATCGATAGTAACACCAACAAAATATCGATAACAAAACCGATAAAAATATCGATAACAAAATCGATGAAAAATTCGACAAAAATTTCGAAAGCAATATCAATAATAATATTAGTAGCGAATTCCATTAGAAATCGATAAAAATATCGATAAAAATAAATAATAATGATAACAAAATCGATAAAAAACGATTTGAAAATCGATAAAAATATCGATAACAAAATCGATAAAAATATCAATAACAAAATCGATTACAATATCGATGACAAAACCACTAACAATATCGATTATTATATCGACAGCAAAATCGATAAAAACTTTGATAAAAAATCGATACAAATTTCGATAACAAAACCAATAAAAATATCGATTATTATATCGATAAGTCCGGAGAATACAGAAAATCTCTAAAATCCCAAAATAGTTCCCAGATTAGGTCTCTATTTATATCCTTTTTTCTACACTGAGAGAAAAAAAATTAGAATTAAATAAAAACGTGCTGAACGTAGTGTATGTATAATGGAAAAATCCATTTCATTAAAACTTTTCACTTGACTTAAATAGAACATTTTTAAACGGTAATCAAATAAAATTATTCTTACAACGCATTTTTTTCAGTGTATAATTACCTTTATTTTAATCTTTCTTCTTCCATCTTAAGCTTTACTTTTATCAGTATCCTCATCCTCATCTTTTTGTTTATTTTTATCTCTGTTTTTACTTTTATGTTTATCATTTTCTTCATCTAGATATTTCTCCTTTACTTACATTCTTGTATTGGTCTATTTCTAAAATTTTATTCTTTAGCCTTTTATTTGCAAGTTTTTGTTAAATTAATACCATGTGCATACACTCGAGAAGCACTTGTTTCAGCCAAAACCATTTCCGTTGTTCCATTTCCGTTGCACCATTTCCGTGTGCAGTTCCCGTTGAATTTGCCAATTTACTCCCAACCAACCAACCGTCGCTAAAGAAGTTTCACTTCAATTAACGTTATGAACGTCGTTTGTTTGCAATCTGATGTACTAGTATATTTGTTCGAAACAAATTTCTAAATGCTTCTACTCTAATTTAAAGGTGCTCAAAATAGGAATCAATATTCATAGACAACACGTACGCGTGTGCATATGCAAAAAATTTGTTTGTTTTTTTTCGCCAGTTATTTCCATGCCGTCTCATTCATTCATCTTCATTATAACGGCCAACAAGGAGTAAGCTCCCTTACAGGTCGAAACGAACGTATCCAAATGAATGCGTACAATGCCACCAGCCATTGCCGTGTGTTGCTTCAGCGAACGCTCACAGAAGAGTATCATATGTTTGCGAAATTTCTGTGTCTGCTCCACCCAATTGCTCGAATACATTTCGATGTGTAGCTTCTCGAAAAGTAATTGAAAGTCAGTGCCATAGTAACAGGTGGGAAATATTTGCAATGGCATCGAAAGGAAATATGTAAAATAATATAAACGGTCGAATGGTGCATCGACGAAAAAGAACAATGCAGCCATGGCCAGACAGATGTTGAATGCTGTAACTGTGAATTGCAGAAACATCGGCAGCGAGATGATATTTTGAATAACATTCAGCATGCTGGAAGTGAAAAGTGAAAAAGTTTGAATTGAATTAAAAATAACAAGGAAAAACAAGAACAAAATATTTAAATCCTCTATAAAACTGGAATGTTGGATCAAGCATCAATATTTAAGCATATTTTCTTTAACGAAATCAACGGGACGAGTGTGGAGTCAATGCTCTTATAAAGGGATTATCTTTTTCTCTTAAATTACTATTTATTATTCAGAGGATGGAGCTGGCCACCTAGTTACCGCGACAAGCGATCTATTGTAGCAGATATCTATATTTCTAACATATTCCCAAAACTCGTCAAAATATTTGAAGATTAAATCTAACGATAATATTTTGCATCGCGGGTGAGTTCCAGGTGAGGATGTACAAATGGAGTTGGGTCAGGCCTATAACGTGAAATAAGCAGTCAGCAGTCCAAAAAGTTGTCGAGAGCAAAAAAATAAATAGATCTTCTGAGATTGAAGGCAACATGAGTTTTGCCCACCTGCATCCCTTTCATGCCTTTCAGTCATTGCTGAACGAAGTATTCATCCAGTTTCTCAGTTTCTGAGGGTGCTTTCGATGGCGAAAGTGGGTAGTGCTATAACTGGTTGCGGATCGAGGATTGACTGGTCTAAGCCAACTGTGTCCAAATGCTCAGATGTCTCATTACCAGGTACTCCGGAGTGCCCTGACACCCAGACTAAAGCAACCTCGTTATGGTTACCAGCATAATTTGGTCGAAACTTGTATTGCCAATATAGTTTGGAAAGAAGGAAGTTAGATAGAGGGCTAGCCAATGTCTTAAGTGCAGCTTGGCTGTCACTGCAGACACATAAACTCCTTCTCATCCACCTATATTCCACCATGTAGTCCATGGCTTTGAGGATCGCAATTACTTCAGCATGGAAGACCGAAGCATATGCCCCAAGAGAAAAGTTCAGCTAATCCCCCATTCACTTCGAAAAAGATCCCAAATCTTGAGCCAGAGTCAATTTTGGAGCCATCAGAGGATTTTCTACAATGTATGGTTCCGGAGTCAGTGCTGGAACATTATAGAATCACTTCAGCAAAGGTAATGGTGGCGTACTATCCTGTAGAATTGAAAAGACAAAAGTGCTCAAATCTCTGCTGCCAGCAACTTCCGCCGCGCCCCACTCAGTGTTATACCAACATCCGATTCTTTTTAGTCTACTCGTGGCTTTCAAGGTTTCCCCACGTAGGAAGACAAAAAGTGACGGTAAGCGCAGCAGTGTGTCAGAGCACCACACACCACTCAAAAAACTAAAGTTAAATAAAGAGGGTATCAAGCAACCATTTTGGGTATTTATTATCGAAACCAGATAAATTTTCGTGGACCCCCGACGTAGACCCCGTCGAGTCTCCCGTGGGTCTCTGGAGGTCTTCCTGGACTACTTTGGGAATCACTGTTGTATACCATGGAACCATGCTCCAATAGCACAGTCGATTCCGGAGTCATCAATACACCAGATATGGTTATCTTTTCAACGCGTTTGTCATTCTTTGTCCTACTAAAGCTAAAAAAGGTTTCGTAGTTGTATATGAATCTATACCTCAGAAGACAGGGACCCACAAAGCTTATGCACAGGCCTTCATTCTATGACGTTGACAATGAATGGATGCATATCTTCAAGCGCCTCGAAAGCCGCCTTTGATATATAAATTAGAAAAAGTGTTATCCAATAGCAGTCGCCCCTCGGAAGGCAATGCTAAAAAGCTTTTTACTAAACCCATTTTCCGTTCGTAAGCGGCGTAAAATTGTAAGTGCATTTTCTTTATAACATTAGGACCAACATCACAATTTTGAATAGAAGCGCAGCCAAACATTTAACAAAGGTGTAAGTGCCAAAATAACGTTATTAAGTATTATATTATTTCGTTGAAGAACGCAGAAGCTTGCATCCTTCCTCTTACTTTCCCCGAAGAAAATACTTATTCTACCATAGTCACCTTAGGGTTGACGTTCAACCCGTTCTGACTGCACCATGTAATAACTATGTATGTTCAGCGCAATCTGCAGAGGTTGAAATGTCCTCTCTTAAATCATAGCTATAATTAGACTGACAATATCATTCGATTAGGCCTGAATGCTGAAAGTCTTGTCACTCAGAAGGCAGAGTAGTTCGCTTTCTGCGAGAGACCACAATTGCGAATAGATCCTGCCTCCTGTGGACATTTTTTTCATTACCGAAAAACTAACTCTTTCCGTTCGAAGAGTTCAAGTAATGGTTTTGGATTTTAGGACGCTTATCATCAAGTGGGTACGTAGGAACGTATTTTGCTATATCTACTATAGGGAGATCCGCATAGTCAAAATCATTTACGTCCAGAAAGGAACCGATGGTCGTATCTATGCGAACTACGAACTACGAACCTTGGCCTCAGATTTTGGTAGAAATTATCTTAGGCCGGTAGGTGGATAGGACTTTAGTTTGTCGTATGAGTTCCTCTCTACTTTGTAAAGATCACTATGCATAGCATACTTTCAATAGCGATATAAGAAAAGGTAAAGCCGATATCCTTAGCTGCTAGTTGCCTTTTTTGTAATGTAAATAAAAAAAGGCAAGGAACTCCTTGTTCCTTTTGAAAATTAGCCCATGGGTGGGGGGGCTCGTTGATATATACGGTTTATTTTATTCTTCATCGAACTTGCCTCTAGCGACTTACCAATTCTCTGCACACAGTTTTTTCATACCAATCTTCGCGTAAATGGATAGAAATTCTAACTTAGAATTGTGCTCAGTGGTTAGTTAACAAGAAAGTGTACCTTGGCTAGCAAGGAAACCCATGTGCGGAACCCCAGCTACAGCTGTACCTACATATAGCCAATCTTAAACGGTAAAAAATTAACTCCATTAGAATAAAATTTGCATGCTACCCTAAAATAATCAATTTGTAATGCATTTTGATAATTTTCTCTAAGCAAGGAAAATATACGTCCACGCATGCTGTACAGTATCCAAAGGAGCATGGAATTATTCCCTTTTGTTGGACCATAAATTTTGTTTTTAACATACGATGTCATTAGTAGAAAACTTTCGTCCTAACTGTCCACAGCATGCATGGGGAAACTTTTTTCGAATCGTAATTTGATTTTGAGATCACGGCATTCGCTGCTTCGTTAATTTAAATTGTATTGGGGAGCGAATAGCTGTAATTTTCTCGATTTCCGAATGCCGTAAATCAGGCTCACGTTCTTATTTAACACTGGAGTCCTATGTTTGAGCAAAGTAACTCCTCAGGAATCAGGTCAGTATTAATAGTAGCATTTAACAATGACTCAAGTCAAGCTTACCCTACCGCGATATTAAATTGCACCCTATCATGACTTGACATGTGTATGTATGTGTGTTAAACATATTAGTTACATCAATTCACCTGAAACCACATTCCCAACAAAGAAACTCACTTGTAAAGCTGCTCCTGATCTTTGATGCAACGAAACAATTCCTCTTCATTCTCATCCAAACTCCGATTTGCGTAGCCAATTTGTGAAACTCTAATACCCAGCAATTTGATATGCGCCGACAGCAGCACCAATGTCATAGTCGGGAAGCAATCGTTTACGAAATTTTGCAGCAACTGAAATGAGATGCCAACAATTTGATATAAATGCGCCGCATAGAACTTTAAATCGGATGCACGCCAATCGAACGGAAACCATGCCGGATACAACAAATTATGCTCATTACGAAAAATAAACCTCAACTCTGCCGTCACGCCGACTAGCGTGTAAATGCTGAGGAACCCGACGATAATGTGGCGTATTTCCTTGCGCAACTGCGCAAGGTAGCGACGTTCACGTGAGCTGTTGACACGTTCATCCAGTGCTGCCATTATGGCTTCCAATTCACGTAAACGCTCCATTTTCGTAGCGTAAATGATGAATTTCATGCTGCAGGCCACACAGGTGACACATACCGCAAGATTCTGGATGTTGGCTGAGGCATTGGTGTTACTGAAGAGAGCCATGGCAAGATGCAGCGGATAACAGAAGGTGACAAGCAGATGCAGCAGAACTGAATAGCCAAAATAATAGGCATTCGAGGTGGGTGCGATAATGCCGAGAACTTTGAAGCACGTCCAGTGAAGTTTGAAAAATGAGCGGGTATCAAGCGCAGCTGGTAAAGGCAGCACTAATGGCGACGGCAACGGTGAGTGCACTGACATTTTACGTACACACGAAGCTAGAGGAAAGCGTTTGTTGTTTTGTGGATTTTCGCGGAATTTCTGGTGTTTTATATGCGGAAATGTGTGTGGTAATATTCTTGAAAAACAAACTGGTATGAGTGGAGAGTTGTTAAATGTTGGCGTAAAGGTGCCGATGCAAAGTGTGTCATTTATTTGATTTTGTTATTATAAATTCTGCTGGTCATGTGTGTTTTCACATCGCATATTTTTTTAATTTTTGATAATTGATTTTAAATGCTTTGAATTGCTTAAGTGGTTTAATGTTTGCAATCACTTCCCGCTTTTAGTGAAGGCTGTGAAAAAAAGAATGTTGATGTGGATACCTGGCCAAAGCGACATTATATACGGTGACCAGGGCTTCTCATTTCGGAGGATATTTCTGTCCTCCTGTGCTCCTAAGCTGTGAGAATGCCTCAAACTGTCATCATTTTTCTTAAAAAGGCAAAAAACGGATTTAACGGATTTTTAACACATCACTTTCGTATTTTTCTTTCTCATTCGTATAGAAAGAAAAAGATGGCTACACTGTGACTGCAATATGCACGAAAAACCAGACTTGGCCGGTTTTGAATGAATGAAAAAATAAATCGATTCAGCGGTGACTGTTTATCCGTCCGTCCGTCCGTCTGTGTACACGATAACTCGCGTAAAAATTTAGATATTTTTAAAAATTTTGGTATGTGTACTTCTTTTAAGCGTAGGACCAAGAGTATTGAAAATGGGAAAATTGGACGATAACCACGCCTACCTCCCATATAACGGTAGTTTTCAGAAATACGAAAACTGCGATATTTTAGAAACTGCTGAAGCTTATTCACTCAAAATTGATATTTCCAATGATTTTTAGACGAAAAATAAGCAAATTATAAATTTTTGGAAAATGGCCATAGCCACGCCCACTTATGATTACATGTGTATATCTTGGTACACGCTGCACCCCAAACCTAGCACGGTTGTTGGCCTTAGTACAACATATCAAATGGATGGAAAGTTTTTATATCGGACAATAACCACGCCCGCATCCCATATAACGGTAATTTGGAAAAAAACGAGATCTTCGATAAATCAGTAAATATTAAAGCTAATTTATTCAAAATTGATACTTGCAACAATTCTTTACCATGAAATACGTTTATAACAAAATTTTTAAAAATGGGCGTGGCACCGCACACTTATGTATCTCGGCAACCGTTCGAGCAATTTATACCAAACTCGCAATGATTATTGGGTTTGCCACATAAAAGCAAAGCGCTAAAAATTATTGAAATCAGAGTAAAATTACACCCACTTTTTATATAACGGTAAGTTTCAGAAATGCTTGAAACATCGATATTTCGAAACTTATGGACGCTAATTTACACAAAATTGATACTAACAACATTTCGTTGAAAAGAAGTAATATTATTATGGAGTTTTGGAAAATGGGCGTGAACTATACAATTGAAGATTTTTGAAATAGGGATAAAACCACCCCTGCTTACCATGTAGCGGTCGGTTTAGGAAAGGCGAAAAAAACTATATTTAATAAGTGCGGCTCCACTCGAACTTAGACTTTTTTACTTGTTCTCCTATAAATCCCTAATTATGATTGAGTCTCATGATTGATTTTATTTGTGAGTAGAAAACACAAAATAATTTTGATCGGTTTTACTATGCAAATACTCCTCTGTGCGACCCATTTCGAAATAAGAAATGCGGGTCTAATTATTTATTATTATGTTATGGGGGTGGCTGAAAAACTGTTTAACACCCCAATGTATATATACATATTTACCTATTGAAATAACAACAAAAAAAAATTGGAAGAAACATTCTTTCCTGATTTAAACGAGGTTGTGAAACTTTTATTTGCTGGCTTATGACATTCCTAAAGGCCAGTGAAGCCCTCTCCTAATCAATCATAGCATATTTCTTCTGACATCAGTCCTTTTTACATTCAGCACACCTTCACACTCATAAATGTAAGAGCCTGTTCTTAAATAGCGCAATTCACGCTCAATAAGATGCAAGCACACTGCGTAGGCAGCAATAGCAATACTACCCCAATCGCATTTATTTTTATTATATCCGTAAAATATATATGTATGTCTGTATATTTTCCAAGCTAATAAATTTAACATTTACGACAAACTTGATTGATTTGGATCAAATTAGAGTCAAAAATTGGTCAAATTTAGATTTATTGCATGGTTTTTAATTATTTTTTGTAACACAGAGAGGCTAGTCGCAGTGAATATAAAAATTGATTTGGGTGACTCCAGTTCGCATGTCGATAGCTGTACCGTTGTTTTTCAAAGATAAAATTTCGAGCGTTCTACTGCCTTCTAGCTGGAGTTGTTTTCTATCTGAAAATTGGCGAATGTGGGTATTTAAGCGAATCATGGACTATGCTCGGGTGTGCTGTCGCAGCGTTAAATTTGCTGAACTGGGTAACGAATCATACATACTCTACAGATTTAGACCACTGCTACTAGTTTCCATTTGTAAACCCGAACAAGTAGGTCGCCGGTAAGATACTTGGGTCGAATGAGGCGATAGAAGATGTGACTTTTTGTAGTTCGTGTCGTATTATGCAGAATTATTGCTAAATACTTAGCTGTTTATTTAAGAAATGTATTTTTTATCTACAACACTAATAAAAAGCATACGCTGAAGAATTTACTCGAAATAAAATAAATAAATAGTCTGCTAAACCACATCTAAAAACAAACGCAAAATATTATGTTTCTTTAATAAAAAAAAATATGATAAAGTGCTGTGACACGCCTATGAAGCTTTCGTATTTGTTTTCTCTTACAACGACATGTCATGCGAAACCCTAGCTAGTACATTTGTCACATGAGAAGCCCTAACTCAGCATTCACCTTGCGCCAAACCCATTAAATGCAAACACTTCTGTGTAAGTATCCAAGTCTTTACTGAAAAAAAAATTAAGTAGAGACACTTACAAATAAGCCTAATCAACAAACAAGCAACAAAAAAAAGTGTGTTCGCGTTCATTGTATCTATGCTTACAAATGAATAATGCGCGTTTAAATATGCTAAAGAGATATATAGGTTGCGTATACGCAGTGTAGGGCAAGAGAGAGGAAGACAAGGAGAAAAAAAGTCGGCATGACGAGCAAACAAAACACAAGTACATACATAAATACAAACGGACGCATATGTGCTTATATGTTATTGTATGTGTACTAGGATGGTCCAAAAATAGCAAAGTCGGAATTGTAATGCTCTCACCCCCTAGCTTTGTTCTATATTGAAAAAAAAGTATACCTCCTAATTTTTTTTTTTTTTTGAAATCAAAAAATATTTAGAGGTCGCTCAAAGCGCTCAAAGTTTTCCATGTATTTTTATATGGGAAAAAACTACTTTTCGTATGAATGGTATAGAATTCTTGGAAATCAATATTTTTCGATCGGTTCAATCGGTTAAATAAACAATTGGGTATTATTATTGGGAATCTCCTGCAGATAAAAAGAGTTTTCTGGTAGAAAAAAATTTATCTTTAGCTCTTCTAAACCATTTCTACGAAAAGTTTTTTTCCCCCATATAAAATACATAGCAAAGTTTGGGCGCTTTGAGCGACCTCTAAATATCTGTTGATTTTAAAATAAAAACTAGGGATATATTTTTTTCGGTATAGAACAATCCTAGGGGGTGAGATTTTACTTTACTTTTCCGACTTTACTTTTTCACATGCATTTTTGGACCACCCTAATGTATACATATGCTGTGTCATACGAATTTAGATTTCTATATACATACATACTAGCTTACAACAAAAAAAAAATGTAAATACATACATAAATATATGTAGCGTCCCTGTTTTATTCCAATCCATTTAAATTGAATCCCAAACACAAAATAAATCTTACCGTTAACTCATTGGTTTCCTTACTGTTTTTTTTTTGTTTTCCTAGAGTAATTAAATTATGTTCAAAATTTTTTACTTTCCACCACTTTTTAACAATCAACTCTTAACAAAAAATTAAATTATTCTTTAAAGTTGTAAAAAACTTTTAAAATTTAAACCAATCTATTGACATATTTTAGGCCAACTGACTTTTGAATGTTATTCTTCGCTAACAATAAACATGCATACTTTGTTTGTACCTATGTAGCATGAAACGCCAAGCGTAATAAGAACATGTCTTATGGCGTTTTCTTTTCTACCGAAAAATGATGCCTTCTCAGTATTCTCTACGCACAAATACTACGGAAAGGGCAATGAGAAGGCAACCCTTTTTTTGTAGAAAAAAAAAAACGGCATTATAGTATATATGTAGATACATTCCTTTTACTTTCAACTGCATGCGTTTAAGACTGTCTGTTTTGTTTGTATTGCCTATCTGTATGCATCAGCGAAAAATGACTTTCTAAACTTTTACCAGTTTGCTCATAAAACACGATTTGCTGAGTTAAAAGATATTATCGCAGTGCACTTAAAGCCAGAGAAAGTACAAGAAGTTCTACATTGTAGATGCAGTAAAACTCCTTAAAAGTTTAAAAGTCGATTTAAAGCTTTACAACTATGTATGTGCTTTTAGGAACTAGATGAAAAATTAAGCAAATATACGTATGGCACAAATTTATAGCAGATAGAAAAATAGCACAACCATTTAAATTTCTCATATATACTTATTTAATACTTTTTGATAATGAAACATTTAAGTTAGGTTAAATTCAAGTTGCTTGTGGTGGTCACACTACCCGCAGGATCTTTACAGCCACTCTCCTTTATTTGTACAATTTAATATGTGGAGTTGATGCTCTGCTCTGCTTTCTGTAGTTCCTTTAGAAATCACTTTAAGGCGTTATGAGTCTCTTCCCATTACCTATAAGTAGAACAATGGTCAAAATAAAATTATTTTGTGCCCTGCTTAAGAATTTCCCGCGATCTTTTCAAGTCCCATTCTGGTCACATGAATCTTGTCGTATTGCCTAAACCTATGGGCTTCTCTTTTTCAGTGCCTTCTCAG